GTCATAGTTTGGACATGTTGCCAGGAGGGACGGGTCCTTGGAGAGGGACATCATGCTTGGGAGGGTGGAGGGACAGCGCAGGAGGGGAGGACCCTCTATGAGATGGATTGATTAGGTGACTGGGGTAATTGGGATGGGTGTGTCAGAGGAGGTGCGGTTGGCACAGGATAGAGCAGGGTTTAGAGCTGTTGTGCATAGGTTCGCTATGAGTCGGAAACGACTCGACGGCACATAACAACAACAAACAACAACAATAGATTCTTTACAGTTGTCATTAGTGCAAATGTCAGATAAGGAGATGGTCCGTAGGGGAAGAATATGGATATTGTTAAAAGCTTTCTAATATCTCTCTTTCTTAGTATTTGTAATGAAAATTTCTATAATCAGATAATTCTGATGTTCACTTTGGACTAGTAATTATGCATAATTTTTATGGGATGGGTACATGTACACACAAAATACGAGAGTGTGAATCATATTTTCATGTATGATATTAATATTTTCTACATTTTTCTCCCTCAAATGAGAAACTCCCTTATAAATACTTTTTGAGACATACCACAAGCCTGCTTAGATGAAAAAATAAGCTCAGAAAAGAAATAATTGACAGGAAATTAAAATAGAAATGGAGGCATTCTGAGACAGCAAAGGGATTTTTATGAATATATTTATGAGTAGATACGTAAAATGCAAGGGTGTTTGCATGAACAGAATTTCATTGTTAAGTCTATTAATTTCCTTCCTGGTTATATATCATAGACCTATTTGTTTCATATGAGGACATTATAATGTACCTTTTTGCAAGCATAGATGTATATTTAATATGCACTGCTATGATAACTTTGCCAGATATTCCACCAGAATGAGATCTCCTCATTTTTCAGAGTCTGCCCTTGAAGAAGATTCCATGCAAAGCCAGTGCACCACCAGGCTCCTTTTTTGCCAGAGACAATACAGCAAATTTCTTATCCTGGTGCAGAGATTTGGGTGTGGATGAAACATGCCTATTTGAATCGGAAGGTTTGGGTATGTATTTCCTTCATGATTTTAAGTGACAAAGCATTTAGAATGATTACTACATTATCATCAGTATAACTCTCAAAACTAACATTTTTAATATGATATTATCCTATGACTCATTAAGAAAAAAAGCTAAGTTTGTTGCAAAGTTTTAGACTTGTAAACATAACCCTTTAAAAGTATAAAAAAAATACCTTCCCTGTTATTACTGGTCACACTGTAGATTCAATAATAGCAGAAGTAAGGCAAATTTTATAATCTAAAAATGAGGGCCATCAATGGGCTATTTGGAAAACCTGTGGGGGAAAAAGTCACCCCGGATTCTGACTTGAATTAGGTGGGTGGCTATGTGCTTCCCTCATAGAGAGAAGTACCTCTGTAAATATATGGAAACACCATATTCTGTACACTTGATCTTGTTGAAACTGCACTTCCTTTATCTACTTGTACAGCTATTTTTTAATGTCTTAATAATCGGTCATGTATGATGTTGAGATGATTGAAGGTAATGAAATTAAAGACACTGAATGGCTAGTCCTACTCAGAAAATTATATAGTTTTTTGTTGTTGGTTTTATTTTTTTCCTGATTAAATTTTTTGAGATCTACTTTCAGATTTTGAGTGAGCTTCTATAACTTTTGAGAGGTTATAATTTTTGATATTTTAACATATAGTAATATGTTAACATATTCAGTGTTTTGACATTACTTGATATCCTAGGCTTGAATGGTCAAAGCTCCTGTACCCCTCAATTCTATTATAGAAAATATATACAATTTCTGTAATTCTGTAGTGGAAAATAATTAAAGTCTCATTTGAGTAAAAGGGAACACAGAGGCAAAGGCATTTCAAGAAAAGAAAATTTTTGTTCTTTAGCTTGAAGTTTTTTAAAAAAATCAATTTATAAAACCTTATCATATCAAATATTAATGTTTAAATAAGCAGGCCATCCTTTAGGGAGAATAAATATAGACATTACCTTCCAAACATACAGAATATTCTTTACTCCCAGGCTCCAAAAGACTGAGTTCCCAAACTGAACCTAGGAAATTGATGGGAACAACTGAAATCTTACTCATTTTGGATGCTGAAGGAAATTTGTATTTGTTGTAAGAGCAATTGATGTGTTACAAAAGACTGCTATCAAATTTCCAAGAATTCTCTCAGCAGAGAAGCCACTAGTGTGAATTTATACTGAAAGACCAATTCTACCTGAATGAAAAAGAAATTAGGTTAATAGTTTTAAGCTTTTTACAATAGTGTGTTTTTGTTGTTGTGATGTGCCATCAAGTCAACTGCTAGTCATAGCAACCCTATGTACAACAGCTCTGAAGCCTGCCGTATCCTGAGCCAGTCTCAATGTTCGTTATATATAAATAAGTGTTAATAGTTTTTACCATTTTCTCAAACAAAAGGAAATATCTTTTCTAGGGAGCAGCACATGTATAAGATGCCTTTTTCAGTTGCTTTTTTCCCCCACAAGTAGTTTTACTACAGGAGCTCTGTTGGCCAAGCCAACAGGGAGTTAGTTGCCCAAAGGCAGGTAGCTTTCGCTCAGCATTCCATGGTTGATAGAGGGATAAGCTCTCTGTGCTTTACAACCTCTGAAAACTCACTGAAAGATTCATCAAGAGTTGGTCCCACCTCATTGACAAAGAGACGAGATGGATTTCACTACTAGATTTTAACTTTCACTTTTGTAGTCAATTATGCCAGTTGAAGATTCTAGGAAGAGAGAGGGAGAAATTATTGGTGGGTAAAAGCATGAAAAATTTCATATGTATCCTATGGGATTGATGGATGATAGATAGATAGATAGATAGATAGATAGATAGATAGATAGATAGACAGATAGATACATTGTGTTCTGTTGAGTTGGATCTACCCATAGCTGTCCCTCCAGTGGATTTTCAGAGGTAGTAAATAATATGGGAGTAGATTGTCTATCTTCCTCCATTTGATGTATATAGTAATGTAATAAAATATCAATCACGGTTAATTATACTTAGTATATGTGGACAGGTAATGCCATGATTTACGGTTCTGGAATGCCATGGTATTTGCCAAATAAGTGAGGACTCCTCTTTTTGTTAATTACTTAGATTATCCATTGTATAAGTATTCATTTAAAAAGATTTTCTTTTCTGACTGGGTATTTCAGGGCAAGTGCCTTACTGGGAGCTATGAATATAATGCAGTCCTGTTCTTGGCTTGCTTACAGTGAATTCTGTTACTTGAACTAATAAAATTTTCAAGTGGCCTCTAAGAAGACTAAATGCAGCATAATTTTTTTTTCTGGAGTATATATCACTATATCTCAAGGTTTCCACATTCTTGAATGCAAATTGTGTGCATTTTGAAAACCACATTTTTCTGATAAATATTATATGTGTCTTAAAACAATAAACCCTAAGGAAATTTACATAGTAATGACTTTCTCTTATAAACACGTACCTCATAGCACAGAAACTTATACCAAGGTGAATTTTTAATTGAGCTAATTCTCCACTTTTAAAAAAAAATCAATAACAATAACAAAATTGGGATCATGAAAAGACAGAGCTCTTTGTTTACACATAACAGCTATTGACTATTTTACAAAAGAAAAAAAAACTTTATGATTATTCTTTAAATTCTAACTCAGCTAACAACTTGCAAATAAAATGTATTTTATGTCCAAGAAAGTTTAGTAAGAAGTTTCATGAATATACAAAATTTTAAAGCATTTTAATCTTTTCAATAGTAAACTAAATCAGTTAGATTTTCCATTTTTGTGCTCAGTGAAAAATGGTACATCTTAAATTTCTCCTTCTTGAAATAGGACATTCTTCTGCCTGGAATAGGACATATGGTGATATGTAAGAAACACTGGGAGACAAACGGGAATAAATATTGACTTTAGGATTATTCAGAAGAAGGAAGCATCTGTGCCCATTTATGTTAATGCTACTCAAGAAGGGGGGAAATACGAAATTGCATTTCCCCAAGTGGAACCTTTCTCCTTGGATTTTTTTTTTTTTTTTAAATTCAATGTGGGTGATGAAACAACTGAGTCCTTGCTGCTGATGGCCTTGAACTCTGCAGTTGCGGAATGGACTTTTTTGTAACAATAACCCTGTGTACTCTGCTGGAAGTCTTTTCACACTTCACTTTTGAGAGGGAATTTAGGGCAAGGTTTTTCTTTTTTTTTTCTTCCTACCTCAAGATTTCATTTCAGTGGCACACAAGATGAAGAGCATCCTTTGTGTCCTAGTGTTTTGAACAGCAAATAAAATGAAAAGATGCCCTGATGAAGGGGGGAAATCTGTTTGAATGACTGATAAAGTAGATCACTGTGCTGGGTGTGTATCAAGAGGCTTCTGTTTTTAGCTGCTCAAAAGGTCTTTGCTTGAATAAAGCATCCTTATCTTGGTGACATCTGATATGCTACAGGGCTTTTATGTACAAAGATGTGTGAGCAGATCTTGATTTACAGCTCACTCAGTCTGTTCTCTTTCCACCACACCTAATGGCAAGAAATCACAGTTGGGTTAGGGAAGATGTGTTGAGGTTGAGAAGTATGGATTGCAACTATTTCTTACACTTCTGCTTTCTTGCCTTTTTTTTTCATTCCTGGCAGACTAACTCTCTATGCCACATGATACGATCACACTCTGCTAGGGAATTTTTGAGAGATCATTTTCCTCTGTGAAATATCAGCTCTCATACCACAAATTAATTATATTCTGAATAAAAATGTAACTGTTTCCAAAATTAACATGGGACCAAGGTAAACAGCCGGCACAAAAAGGTGATAGAAAACCAATAAATAGGAGTTAGATACTTTAAGTATAATAAAAATGCAAATAAAATCATTATGTATCTTTTGTCATACGCTGAATAAGCAAAGATTGAGCAAACTGTATATTTAGTGTTTGTAAAGGTATGGAAATATAGAGTCTTCTAAAACTTGTTGAAGGAAAGCAGAAATTGAACTATCTTTTGAAGGGTAGTCAGATGTTATAAAACAAAGTCTTCAGAAGTTTTTATATATTTCGATCCACTTCTGAGAGTTTATCTGAAGGAAGTAGGCATAAATATTAATATACTGGGGTGTCAAAGAACATATTTTCTTACATAAAATAAAATGGAAATAAATACAATTTATGACACTTTAAGGTAGCTTTCATAAATTATACTTACTATAAATGCCCACCAGAAATAATATTCTGGAAGACTCTTTTTGTTTTTTAAATTTTAAGAATATATTTTATTTATTTTCACCCTATTGGATAAAGTTTTTCATGCACCTTGGGACTTAACTTTTGGAAAGTCCCATTCATCAGTGTTATCCTTACCTAACAATTGTGCATTTCTGGCTGTATTTGCCAGCCTATTTATACCATAGGCTAAGCCTTCTAAGTTTGGTGCCATATTGTTTCTGATAATCTTTATGGTTTGTGGCTTTCCCCTAGGTCTCTGATTCTTTAGTTGACTTTTTTCGGCATAGTGTCTGGAAGACTCTTTAAGAATATGGGACAATATTTTACACAATGAATATAAGGTGAATGTTGTTGTTGATGATGATAATGATAATTGTAGTTGAGTTGAGCACGACTCATAGTGACCCTACGAATATGAACAAAAGGCCTGAATTCCTTCCATAACCATGGCCATTTATCAAAGTTCACAGAGTTTCCAGAGGCATGCTGTTTCGGAAGTGGATGCCACTCCTAACACATCTCTATCTAGTATATAATAATAAAATATTCAGAATCATAAATTTTAAAAATAGCAACTAGGCTGCCAGTGATGTTCAATTCTCTCCTTCAATTATCTAATATACTTTAGGGTGTTAGCAGGTGTGACCTATGATCTGGAAAAAAATGGAGATTTCCAGTTTACTTAATGTAATTGAGACAGGTCTGCATAGGAAATTATTTTGTGACATAAGATTTAGTACATTAGCATAAAAGAAAGACTTATACTATGATTCAGATAAACACCAATATTTCAGGTGGTTCTAG